GAGAAATCAATTTGTTTAAAATTCAAAATATTAAATGGGAAATGTTCTCAGTTCAACCCTTACATTTTCTGCTGCATGTATTTACTTGCTTTTATTGGATTGTTACAGGGCATGTACCAACTTAAGTGATACCATTAGGTGGTATCCTCCTCTTTAGAGTTTTTTGGAGGAGGAGATAGGGATCTAATCTATATGGAGACTGATTCTGATCCTGTCCTCTCACATCTCCAAGCTCATCATTCCATCTGCCCAATATCCATCTGAAATTGCTGACTGTCAACCTTCAGCCTCAATGTGGCTAACACTAAATTCATTGTTAATCTCATATTCAGTGTCCTGCCAGGGTATGATTGTTTCTATTTAGTTGTCCAGGCTGAACCTTCATAGATAATTTTGACGCCTGCCCCCCAGCCTAGTTTTCTGTTGCTTCTGCATGTTTTACCCCCTTATCTTCGTACTCATATTATTTCAGTAATCTGCTAGTTGGTTTCTAAAATAATAGCTTCCATTTATTGTGTATGTGATTATCATAAAGAATATATCTGATCTTTGACCCTGGTCCCCAATAGTGAGTTTCAGAAACCCTTGGAATTTTCCGAGTACATAATTAATCTATTTTAACCACACATGCATTTATGCTAATGACGTGATTTTGGGTGGGCTTTTAAAGATAGTTTGCGTGGACAGAGTGTCCATATCAGAAAGATCAAATTAGACAGAGCTTTCAACCCTACTTCTTAATCTCAGAGGAGGGTGGAGGGACTGGATCTTGAGTCCTGTCATGTGGCCAGTGATCATACCAATCATGTTTAAGTTATGAAACCCAACATAAACAGCCTGCAACAGTGGTGAACTTATTAATGTGCTAGGCAGTTGATACCTGGAACATGGAAGTTTTTGTCCCTCCTCCTCTCTCCCCTATACCTTTGCCCCAATGGTTGTTGCTGAGTTGTATCCTTTGTAATAAAACTGTGTCTAAGTATCGTGCTTTTACTGGTTTCTGTCAGTTAATATAGCAAATTATTGAACCTGAAGAAAGATTTTTGGGAAATCTGAATTTGCAGCCAAGGCAGACATAAGTGTAGAGAGTGTAGAAACATCTGAATTAAGGGCAGTTTTGATAGGGACCTTCCTCTTTAACTTGTGGGATTTGATGCTATTTCTAGGTGAGTATCAGAATTGAATTGTAGGACACCTAGTTGGTGTTGAGAATTGGTGTCAGAGTGCAATGTGTTTATCCTCTTCCAGGCATTGTGGATAGTGCTGCATTCGTTATTTCACATAATACTACAGTGAAGTAAGGTCTGGTTTACCAATCTTAATGTATAGTTAGGAAAAATTGGCCCAGCATTACAGAACTAGGAAGTGTTGCAGAACTCTGTGTATTCTGATGTTAAAGCCCTTTTCTTAACCCTTTATGCTGAGCCAGCTACCTTTTTTGCTGTAGATGTTACTACCCTTCTCTAATCTGGCAATTATAGCCTACTTTTTCTAAATTAAACTTTTATTTCACCCTTTTTGTGCTTAGAAACTTTCAGTTTTTCTCTCTCATTGTAGAATAAAACTCAAACTCCTTAGATCACATTCAAAGCCTACCAAAGTCCTGTAGGCCTAAACTAGTAATACTGCTCTAGTCTTTTGGATAATTTTCTTCATTTGTATTTCCAGGAAATTATGGTGGAGATTAACATGTGTGTTCCAATTCCTTGTAAATTATCAGGAAAAGAATGTCACTATACAAATAGAATATGCAAATAAAGTGAGTAATTCAGTTATTTAAATGTCTATAGAGTTCAAAAGAGGAACATCTTCATGTAGCAGATTTCAAGGTATATTTGAGGTTGGCCTTCAAAGAAATGGTAGTGTCACCTAAGAAGAGATGTTAATGGAAGAGGATTCGAGGAGTTCCTGGAGAAGGGCAATCTCCACTTAGGACAAATGTGTCCCTTGACATATGTGATGGGATAGAATTTTAGCATGCACTAGTAGAGGCAGAGATTTATTTAGGAAAGAAAGGAATAAACATTCAAGGGGGATTGTGTGCCATCTCACTTGGAATTTTCAGGCTCTTTTGAGGAAACTTAATGAAAGATGGTCATGGAGAAGTTTATGAAAATGTTATTGTTTTCAGAAACCTCAGGTTGACATGATCTCCAGTATCTGATCAGTAGATAATATTGGAAAGTTCTTTAAATTATAGCTTTCTTAAAAATGTCATATCTCTCTTGATCTATTTATTGGTGGGCTAATTAACAGTGCAGAGGTAATTTTTATAAATGGTGCATTTAGGGTAACACTTAAGAATTACAGATTTCCCAGAAATTTGGCAGTGACATACCTGGGAAAGAGACTGGCTTGGGGTATGACAGGCCTGGAGAAGTATGCAGAACTTAAAGTTATATTTCTCTGTCCCCTTTTGTGTCTTATTTCTACCTATCTCTTTATTTCTTTTATTTTGTCTCTAGGATTTTGAGAATTGTAGTCAGGGGGAGAATCCTTCTGGTCAGGAAGAGCATGAATGAAAAGGAATGGAGAGGATTATTCGCCATGTACTAAAAGGGTAGTGTCCATGGCACTGAATATCTGGAAGGACTCTTTCCTGGAGCTAGGGTCTAGTCTACTCCCTCCCTCCAGACAGGTTTTAAAAAGCTGTTACATATGGTTTTCACTTATTGAATTTATGCTAACTCTTCGTTTGAAATGAATGAACAGCTATTTTTAGGCCAACGTAGGTGGTCACATTGGTTAATTCACATTTTACTTAAAAGTAAGCTGCAAATATGATTGATTCATGTTTTTATGTGTTGCATAAGCTGACCAAAGAAAATTTTAAATTGTAAAAGTTCAAAAATAATTTTAGTTATTTTTTCTGCTGCATTCATGGGAGATTTTATTTTATTTTTATTTTTAATTAAAAATTTTTTAATTTGTTTTATTTTTTTTTGTTTTTTTTTGTTTTGTTTTAATTAGTTACACATGACAGTACAATGACTTTGACATATCATACATTTGAATCAGATGGGATATAGTTTCTCATTTTTCTGAGTATACAGGTTGCAGAATCATATTGGTCATGCAGTCACATATATACACACAGTAATAATAATGTGTGTTTCATTCTACTGTCCTTCCTATCTCCCCATCCCCTCCCCTCCCCTCTCCTCCCATCACGTCTTTCTACCTAATCTAAGGTAACACTATTCTTTTTTTTTTCTTTTTAAAACTCACATCTTACATGTATTTTATATATATAAATGTATTTTGTATAACGATGAGGGTCTCTTTCCACCATCAATGCAAAAATTTTAAATTATAAAAGTTCAAAAATATTTTTAGTTTTTTTTTTTAAGTCTTCCTTGTACATGAACTCATATCATTGTTCTGTATCCATTTTCTTGGCATTTTGTAGGGTTAGAGTCTCTTCTGACTCTCAAAAGTAAAACAATTTGTTGGTCTTTTGGGCCTATGTTTTTTTTAAAACAACAAAAACCTTTTTTTTTTTAAATTGATTTGATTGTTATATAACAACATTTGTATGTTTTAGAAAAGAAATATCTAAAAGCAGATCAACAATCATAGCACTCAGAGATAATTGATATCCTTTATTTATATATAATTTTAAATTACATAGACAATTTTATAATCTACTTCTTTCACTTACTATTATGTTAGTATTTTCCATTATAATAAGATGGCTTTTGAAAACTTGCTTTCTGTTAATACATAAACAGAGAGAGTTTCTGATATTTTCTTCTGTAAGCAAAACCAGAATCATTTACTTACTAATTGTAATTTGTTTTCTTTTCACTTCATGTATCATGGGTAGCTTTCTAAATGATAGCTTATATACTTCACTTTTCAATTGAACATAAACTATTTCTTTATGTTATAGCATAGTTTAGCAATTTCTCTATTGTTGGACATTTGTACTATTTCTGATTTTATATACAAATAGTGTTTCAATGAGCTTTTAAATTTTTTTTATTTTGGGGCTGGGGATATGGCTCAAGCGGTAGCGCGCTCACCTGGCATGCATGCGGCCCAGGTTCGATCATCAGCACCACATATAAATAAAGATGTTGTGTCCACTGAAAACTAAAAAATAAATATTAAAAAATTCTCTCTCTCTCTCTCAAAAAAATTATTTTTTATTTTTTATTAATTTTTAAAAATTTATATATGACAGCAGAATGCATTACAATTTATTACACATATAGAGCACAATTTTTTATATCTCTGTATATAAAGCATATTCATACCAATTCATGTCTTCATACATGTACTTTGGATAATGATGTCCATCACATTCCACCATCATTTCTATCACCATGCTCCCTCCCTTCCCCTCCCACCTCTCTGCTCTATCTAGAGTTTGTCTATTACCCCCATGCTCTCCCTCCTTACCCCACTATGAATCATCCTCCTTACATCAAAGAAAACATTCGGCATTTGATTTTTTGGTATTGGCTAACTTCACTTAGCATTATATTC